TCATTGCTTTATGGACCTTTAGTTCTCTTGGGAGCATCCCTAATTCACATGATCTCCCCAAGTGCTGGATTTTGCATTTGAATCTCTGATCTAGCTGAAAGATGTATAAAAGACCCATGTAGCCAGACAGCTCCCTATTGACTACACATCTAAGGAGGCTCAGGAGCGCAAGTTATTCTAGCAAGGACATGGAATAAATTATGTTTAATAATTTTCCCCTAAATCAGCCTTTTTCAAGCATTAGAATAATTTATTTATTTGGACAAACCAAACCCTTCTTTGGAGATCTTGTTATCACAAATGCAGAGGATATGAACTTTTAGCAAGAGAGCAAAATACTAGTTGATCAAATATTTGGCATGGAGGCTATTTTCACAGCATCTTGAACACAACTTATTCCAGTTTGCAGAGACAGGCAGCATGGATCAGAAAATTCAGCTCTTTGTATGCATGTGTGACAGTCATATTTGGATTAATAATGGCTTTGAAGAAATCTCTAAGGAGACTTTGACATTACAGGCCATAATAGCCAAGTTGGTGATAGTTATTTCAAATTTCAGGTACTAATCTGTGATGGGAGAACCTCAAAAAATTTGGCAGTTTGGTTAATATAACCCCCCAAATGTTAAAACATTTATCTGAACACTATCAGAATTTCACATTATTCAACCTCCTGCTTCACACAATCCTAACTCAGTGATCTGCTGCTTGAATGGTACATCCTATTCTTTACTGACAAGTCCATTATAGGGATGAGAGGATGTCCCAGATTTCCACTGCTTGCAATCCAGAGTGCACACATTTGCTTCTAGAACCCCAGAGAGAACACAATTTAATAAGCTACACCACTACTGAAATTCTCACTGAGCTCTGGAGCTGAAGGAACAAGGTGACTACAGTGATGGTTAAACTGAGAAGAGCCATTACTGCAGGGTCCAACAGAGAGGTTAAAGGCTTCTGCTGTTACAGTATGTTGGCATCCTGACCTCCTCCCCAAAAGAGGATCTTCCATTGCAACTCACCCAATGAGGATTCACAACTGGAGAAGAAGCCATAAAGTCTGCCCATAAAGGAAAAAGGGCAGTGAAGTCATAGGAAGACTACCTGGACGTTTCTCAAACCTCCAAAAAGATCCACATTCCGTCTGTAGGATGAGTGAAAATTCATGTTTCTTATTTTTCCCAAAGTGGTTTGCCCATCTGGAGTACCAGTACGGAGAATCAAGATGCCTTTGACAAAATAAACCATTATAATCCCTGAAGACAACTGTGACAATAATCTGTTCAAGGAGACTGGAATAGGAATGAGTAAATTAGTCCACTTAAAGCCTCACAGAACCTTTTCTCATTTCTCCAGTCAAACCTTTCTGATCCTTCAGAATATTCAGCTCTCTAATGCCTGCATTTACTGGTTTTATCCATGAAATGTCAAAATATTGCCACAAATGCTGTTTTCACAGTATTTCTGACAGTCCAAATCACAATGTGCTCAAAACCTTATGAGAAAGCCTGTTCACAAGGCATTAGCATACCCAACCTCTCACAGGCCTTTCCTCACCATATGTGCACATCACTCCTATTGACATCACAGGGAATGACACCTGGCATGGCGAAAATAAACCCATAAAAATTAAGGTGCTTTTATATAACATTAATCTTCAGTATGTGACACAAGCAGTTAGCTTTTCACTCCATACAAGAAATATGTACATATTACAGGAAAAAACAAACTAGCTGCAGCCTACCTTTAAGAAAAGAGGAAGGGAGTGCCTCTAGTACTCATTTTTGGAGAGTGTTGAATTCCATTTTTAATTATGTGTGGGCCTGGGCAGAAATGTAGAACCCCATGTTGCCCTCCATTCATGGTGGATGGGAGTTTTCCACAAAGGGGAGGCTATTAACTAAACTTTGAGTCATCATCATCATTATTTATGAATGTTACAGTCAGCCACGCTCAGTGAGAAGATATGCTGACCTTTAGGACCAACACTAGTTCTAGCCTGTGTTTCTCTCCATCCTTCTTTTCCTGTTTCTCTCTTTTTTACCTACAATTGTGTATCTTCTTTCCTTCCCTCTGAATTTCACACCCTGAAGTAACAAATGATTTTTCACCCCCTTTGGACTTTATTCTTATTCCATTCTCTATCCCTTTGTATGAAATAATCAGCAAAGGAATAGTTACATAATTACATGTAAAGCGTCATCATTGGGCTTTAAATTAAACACCCTAAATTAGATTATGGGTTGCGAGAGTTCACATCATCCAGTGCCATTGTTTCAGGCTGTCTACAGCCAACATTTATTAGTTACACTCGCTCTGCATTTGGAAGAATTCCTCTGCCATCATGATGTCTAGAAGACTTATTTCTTTTTTATTATTTATTTAATGAAACTTAGGCCGGACTGACACACAGTAATTGCACCGATTTAACTAAATCCGTTTCTAAATTCATGTAGTTAAATGGATGAAATTCCTTTGTGTAGACAAGTATTTTACAAAATTCATTTAGAAACTGATTTAAGAATGTCCACCCAAGGGGATTTCACCAATTCAACTAGAAACTGGTTTAGTTAAACTGGTGTAATTTCTGTCTATATACAAGTCCTTAGATTCTGTACAATTTGAATATGTTATGCAAGCCATTTATAAACTGCAACAGGGCCAGATCTAGTCAAGGCACATCTGCTCCAGTGGTTAGAACAGACTATAGGTGAGATACAGGTTCTCCTCCTGGTTCTACCACTGATGCACCGTCTCACCCTCGGCAACTCACTTAACTTTTCTGTGACTCTTTCTCCATCTTTAATGTGGGCCTTACAGTATAGTGAAAGGGTACTGCATGAGTGTTAATTAACTTGTTTGCAAAACACTTGGAAATCTTTTATTGAAAAGCACAATGTAGAAGCAACGTATTAGTATTCTAGAATTATTGTAAAACAACATCATGATAAAATAAAGGAAACAAAATGTGCAGCTTTGTTCTTCATTGTGATCCACTTCTTGTCAGCATGAATAGTTTATTTTTCTGTATTTTGCACAGCAGAAACACAGAATAGATATCTGTGATCCTGACAAGAACAAGATACATTTTGGGCACTTTTAAAGAAAGCTAATCAAACAATTAAAAAATCTGTCACTAAAATGAATCACCAAAGCTATTTCAGATCACCTTATTCAGACCTCTTTATGATATTGCTATATGGTATTGGTGAAAATACTTACGACCAGAGCTTTGTTCATGTAAGCGTTCACAAAAAGCAAATTTCAGGCCCGTAAGCATGATTAACCAAATAAAAAAATAAAATGTATTTGATACAGAGATAAACCAGTTTATAAAGATCACGCAATCAGGGAACAAAAACTATATCATGTGACTCAGGTGAGCAATCACAATACTCTAACAGCAAATTTCAAGCGTGCATTATGATACAGTCTTGAATGACATGATCACAGACTATTTTTTCCACAAGACCCCTGCCTCATTATGCACAGAACAAACTGTGCTCACTCAATAAGCAGCTATTCAGTATTCAGTTTTCTCCTCATTATTCAATATGTGTCTGTTGGGCCTTCCTGCCCTGTGCTGGAGTCATCAGCACCTGGACACTTCCCACCCGAGGAAAATCCATTCACACTGGGTGACCAATAAGACAGTCCTCCACAGGCCTAGAAGGGCTAGGCGGAAATACTGACCAATCAAGAACCATCTGGCCAGTTAAGAAGGCTTGCCTGCTTTTGCTCATGGGCAGAGCTGAGTGACAGTGAGAGAGAGGAAGAGCTTCTCATAGTTAACAAAACCCAGGCCCAAGCCAGGGCCTTGCCCTTGCTCTAAGTGCTGCAACTAAGTACTTATATTTGAAGGTTTTTCTCTTTGTTTAAGGTGCAGACAGCCAAATCCTTAGCTGCTATTTTGTTCATTGGTTGTTTAGAGACTGATGCCTAGCTTACAGCATAGCCTATCCCAAGCAGGAGGCCAAGCCTTGCAGACTTGAGTGCCTGCAGTACCATGAGTGGACCTGAAAGGGGCACTGCAGAGCAGTCCCACCTCCCATAGGTTCATAGTTCAATGTGTGTGACTATTATCAAATTTCGGTTCCCCTTGTAGGTACTTATAGGCTGTGATCAAGCCACCTCTTTAACCATCTGTAACCCTTCTGCAGGTGGTGTCGGCAGCAACAAGGGCCAATTTCAATATCTAGAAATTCCTCTTAACAATACAAAACAGAACCAGCTCAAGCCCTCATCCAGTAATCTGGCAAAACTCAACACCACCCTGGGCGCCTCTAAGAGGCAATGCTTCCCCACTCACAGGCTGTGTATAACAAAAGTTATATGAAAAGGGAAAGGGAACCCAGCATTAATTTGTGAAAACACCACAACCAGGCTTCAAAAGCATGTAACCATAAGCAAACACCCACCCCATAGTGCCCCCACACTGGGCAGCATCCTTTGCCTCAGTTTCCCACCATGTAGTGTGAAAATCCAACAAATGAATGTCCCTCTAACACCCTACTCCCCCTTCCTTCTGCTGCACCCCACTCACAGTTTGTTGTCCTTAGCGAAGATCCAGAGTTCAGAGGTGTGTTCACGTGGGTTCACCTCCCAACCCTGAAAGAGACGGGGGTTTCAAGCAACATCTCCGCTGCTGCTGTGTGCCCCTGCCACTTGCTGATTGCTGATGCTGTTATGAGTAGGTGTATTTTAGGGCATAATTTGCCTAAAGTCTAATGTGTAAATTACTCAAATGACTGAGATAACTCTTAGTTTAGAATATAAGGAGATGGGCTGCTCCTTAGATTTGAATTATGCTTACAATTTACCAAAAGAAAAGAGTTTTTTTATGTCAGTGAAACAATTATTTAAACTATGCTGTTACCACTCTCAATAGTTTAATATGATTTTTTTTAGGCAACTTCTGTATTAGAAGTAAAACAATAACACACAATTATTGAATTTATTAAATGTTTTACTTACAAGAGTATATGGCCTCTTCCCCACAGATCTATCTCTGACTCATGTTCTCTGCTAGATATTCAGCATCAGCAATGTTGGGACTACAGAAGTGGAATTTAGCCAAATAAAGAAATGAAACACTGTATCTCCAAAAAGGATCACAAATATTCCTTTATTTTGAATCTAGAAGGTAACAAAAGAAATTTGCGCTCTTTAGTGTTCAACACACTTTGGGATGAGCCAGAAAATGTCATTTCTTTTTTTGATGTACATTTTTCTTCTTTACACATATTTCCTCTCAGAAGTAAAGATGTCACTGAAACACAAGAGAAGAGAAGCTATCCATATATGGTCATAGTGGCAGTGCCTTGAAGATCACAAGAATGATGGAATGGGGCCTCTCTTCACCACTAGGTAAAATGATTATTTTTAAACTGTAGTTATAAATATGTGGAATTGGATATAATTTCATGTATGCCCTCTGTTATAGGTAGTTACGGAGGATTCATAGAGTAAGACAACTATTGCACCCATTTGACACAGAGTATTTAGAGAAAAACAACAGGTTAGGAAAATCAGAATGTAAGAGTGGCCACACACCAAGGTGTACATAGATTACAATGTTGAATATCAATATAAAATATTTTTTAAAACTTTGTTAGAGCTGAGAGCCAATAGGCCCTGTGGTCTAGAGTCTAGGGAATTAGACTGGGAGTCAGAAAAGCTGGGTTCTATTTTCAGCTCTGTTACTGGCCAGCTGGTGATTTTGAGCAAGTCTCTTCACCTTGGTGTGCCTCATTTTCCCCATCTCTCAAAAGGGGATAGTGATATTGACCTCCCTTTGTTGGGCACTTTGAGATCTACTTATGAAAAGTGCTATATAAGAGCTGTGTGCTATGATTAACTAATGGGTGGCATTTTCAAAAGTGCTCCGTGTTGGTATAACTTTCCTATTAATGCCAGTTAGAGTTTTATCTTTGACATCAATGGGAGTAGGGGTAAGCCAACTCTGAGCGTTTTTGAAGATCCAGATATCAAATATTTATATTGGCAAATATGTATTTTAATTTAAACACAATTCAGTTCTTTTATTTATTTCTTAAAATACTCTTGAGTCAGTGTTCCCAGGGTTCTGCTGAAATCATTATTTTTTGTTATTATTCATTTCACAGTAGACCCCTAAAGGCACAACTAGAATTGGGGCCCCATTGTTGCAGGCACAAATTTGTATTGAGATATGTCCAAGGTTCCTATTACCTTTGTGCCCAATTCTTTTGTATACTTCAGCTGCTTTCTGCTACTTGGGTGGCATAAATTAACCCTATAGCCAAGTGAACTGGTCAGTTGAGGATACCCATCACATACAGGGAGCCTACAAAACCCTTCTGCAGACTGCAGACACAGGAGATGTGTCTGGAGAAAAGGGAGCCCTGCCTCAGGATCCCTAAGACTGCACCATCCTTTGGGACCACAGGGAACCAGTGAATGTTAGAGGAGCCTACAAAATGCTCCAGCTCAAGTCTGTGAAGAATCATGGGCCTCGAACCCAGGCCCATGGGCCTCAGGCAACAACTACCACCCAACAGCTCACCTGAGTAACCAGGAAAGGGTCCACTGAAAGGTTAGCTTGCAGAGGGCCGCCCCCAAGCTCCCAACTGGGGAAAACATCCAGCACTCCCCCACAGTTGGCTGAGGGACTCCATATAAACCAGGAAGTAACAACAGGAAGTTCTCTGAGCAACTAGAGCAATTCTTGGCTGGCTGCTAGTACAGACCCCTCCTGCTACCTGAGCCCTGCATTCCTGCCTGCTCCTGGTTCCTGCTTCCCTACCTGCTCCTGGTTCTTGTCCTCCTATCCCAGATTCCTGATTACTTCCTGTTCCTGCAGTCCTGCCCTACTCTAGGTTCCTGCTCCTCCCCTTACCTCTGGCTCTGACTTTCGGCTTGGCACCTGACTTTGCCTCTGGCTCTGAACTTTGGTTTGGTACCAGACTGGCTCTGAACACTAGGATGACTGCCCATGTCCTACTCGTTGCAGCTTGCTCAGACCACTATTAATCTCTCTGAGTAGGCCCAGATGAGAATGGACCCAGCAGAGCTCTCTGTACCAGAAGGAGCATCTGTATTGCACAAGCAAGTGCACCACCTCCAGTCAGACAACTGAGCTCTCCAGGTGCAGAACATAACTCCGGCTCACTGAGAATCAGGCATTGGGGGATCAAGTCCACCAACTCCACACAGAAAATGCTGCACTCCATGCTTGTGCTGTGCTGTTCCCTAGCATGGACATGCTGATCCTCTCCCTGAGTCCTTCAGTGGAAGCCGCTCCAAATTCCAAGGCTTCATGAAACAATGCTGCCTTTTGTTCTTAATTTGACCACAGGTATAAGCTTCCAAACATATCAAGGTAGGCCTGGTAGGTGACAGGTGAAGCGTTGGACAGGGCCTCTTCCCTGTAGGAAGCCAACAGTCCAATTTTATCTAACTGAGATGTCTTCAAGAGAGCGATATCGAACATCTTCAAGGACCCAAACCACACCTGCTCCACTGAGGCCACCCTAAGGAAACTCGAACAGGGGTCAGGCCTAGCCAATGCTTATGTCGCTCACTTCCACCATTTCATATCAGACACAAAATGGAATGAGACGACCCAGTTATATCAGCTTTGATGGGGCTTACAGGACAAGGCTAAAGACAAACTGGCCCAAGTTGAGATCCCAGTGGGTCTGGATGCCTTCATAGAGCTTGTCATCTGGATCAACAATCTTCTACGTGAGTGATGGGAAGAAAAAAGAGGGGGGGCGTGACTATGCCCCCCACTATTATATTCCACCTGACCAGTCAAACTGATGCAGACCTAAACCACGGGTAACTCACCCCTAAAGAGAGAGAGAGAGCGTGCTGGCGACACCACTATTTCCAGTTGCCCTACAAGGAACCCAGTCCAGAAGGAATCTGAGAAACAGGTCAACCCAGGCTTGGTGAAGTGGGCTAGCCTGGGCGTTCTGACAGAGTATGCCCCTGAAACTCCAACTGAGGTCCTGTCAGGGACATGTGCTGGCTCCCATCGACCAGCAATGCACCTACAAGTCCTAACTGAGTTGCAAATCCTGGGGCTTTCCCAACTACTCCCTCAGCAGCAGGGTCTCATTGACTTGGGCTTGGCAGACAATTTTATTGATGCAGTGGTGGCCCAGGCACTACAGATTTTCCTGCAGTCCAAGCCTGTTCTGGATCTGGTAGAGAAAATCGATGGGTCCCTCTTATTATCTGGACCAGTGACTACAGAAACTTCCACCTGAAGTTATGATTCATGGGCATCAAGACACCCTATGATTTAGTGCCATCTGTTCCCTGCACTTCCCTCTGATCCTGGGTATCTCATGGCTGGTCATCCACAACCCCCTTTTCTGCTGGTGTGAATTAAAAGTTGAATTCCATTCAGAATTCTGCCAGCAGCACTGCTTTCCCCCAGGAATTGGGCAGCGTGCAGTAGGTCGCCAATGGTCGCACGCCAGGATAGTGGGCCAGCAAAGTCACCTACCAACTCTGGCCTTCAACTTCCATCCAAATACAGTGACTACAAAGTTGTATTTGAAAAAGAAGAATGCTGACACCGTGCCCCCACACAGGGACTACAACTGCCCATTTGAGCTACAAGCAGGGGTAAACAATCTGTTTAGGCATATATATATGATATGTCAAGCCTGAACTAACTGTGCTGCACACTTTCCTTCAGGAAAACCTAAACAAGGGCTTTATTCATAAATCCATGTTGCCTTTCAGGGCACCAGAGTCCTCTTTGTTAAAAAGAAGGATGGGAGCTCTATGTGTTGCCTGTTGGATCCTAAATCAGATCACCATTAGAAACTGGTACACGTTGCCAGTAATCCCTGAGCTAATGGACTGTGTGAGTACTGCTCAGGTGTCCACAGTTAAACCTCCTGGGGGCCTACAATCCTGTGCACGTTAGAGCTGGGGATGAATGGAAGACCATCTTTCAAATAGGTTGTGGACACTTTTAGAGGATTTTGAAATGCCCTTTTGGATTGACAATGGACCCATGATGTTCCAGCATTTTATTAAATGATTCTGGACCAACATGTGGTAGCATACCTGGACAACATACTTATTTCCTTGGGCAACACTGAACAGCACGCTATGCATATCTGTTCCATCCTATGCCAATATGGCCTCTATATCAAATTAGGAAAATGTGCTTTCAATCAGTCCTCCATAGAATTCCTAGGATTCATCCTGTGTCCTTCTGGTATCAAAATGGACCTGTGCAAGGTAAAGGCAGACCTCGAGTGAGCAGTGCCACAGAATGTTTGTGAAATACAGTGCTTCCTGGGGTTCACGAACTTCTATGGGAGGGTCATACTGAAATTCTAGGAATGGACTGCTCCTCTCACAGCTCTCCTCTGCAAAAACACTATTTTTCTCTGGTCTCCCGAGGCCCAGCAGGACTTAGAACAATTAAAACCTGACTTTATCAGCACTCCCATATTGGTCCACCCCTACACTATTTAAGCCATCATCCTCAAAACAGGTGCTTCCAACTTAGCAATCAGAACCCTGCTGTCTGAAGGTCACAGTCATCATCAACTGCTACATCCATTTTCCTTCTATTCCAGAAAACTTATACCCGCGGAGCAGAATTACGACATTTTAGACAAAGAACTCCTGGCAATTAAGACTGTTTTTGAAGAGTGGCATCACTATCTAGAAGGCTCCTGGTTTCTGTCCCAGTGTACACTGACCACATGAACCTTGAATATCTGAGTAAGGCCATTGCCCACAACCAACAACTTCAGTGGGCCATATTTTTTTTTGTGCTGCAATTTTATAATCTCCTGTCACTCAGGAACCAAAAAAAGCAAGGCTGATGCTTTGTCTCAGAAGGGTGAGTATTACATTGACCTGAAGATCTGAACCTGCAAACCTCCTGCATCCTCAAGCCTCAAAACTTCTGAGCACAGCTCTCTGCCATGATCTGCTTACCCTCATAAGATCAGCCTTGGCCCATGGGATCCCTCCAAAAGAGCAGGAAGCCATAAGTAAGGAACCCCACAAGGTCTGAGAAAGGGAAACCTACGTTAAAGGGCATATGCATGTTCCTCCCAGGCCTCCAAGAGCTACTGCCCTACAGGTAGGCCATAACTCCCCACTTGGCAGGACATTTTGATCACTTTAAAACTCAGATCCTCATCTCTCATGTCTTCTGGTGGCCTCACATACAGGCCAGGGTGCAGGAATATGTGGCCTCTTGCATGATGTACAATAAATCTGCAACCCCTTGAGATTCCACCTGGCCCCTGGATAGTCATTGCCTTAGACTTGGTAGCAGAACTACCCAAGCCCGATGGGTTCATGACCATCCTGACAATCATGGATCAACTCACAAAGATGCCATACTTCATCTCCTGCACTGGCCTATCCTCCTCTCAGGAAACTGAGAAGCTCTAGGTGGATGAAGTTGTCTGCCTCCATGGTCTCCCAGAGCACATCGTCTCTGACCACGGAGCACAATTTGTCTCCCGATCCTGGTGAGAAGCTCTCCGGATTTTGGGCATCCACTCCTGTCTGTCCTCCACCTATCACCCTCAGACTAACAGTCAAGCAGAGAGACCCATCCAGATACTGGAGACGTATCTTTGCTGTTATGTCAACTTCCACCAGAATGACTGGTCCTTGCTGCTTCCCCAGACATAGTTTGCATACAATAACTCAGAACACACATCTATGGAGCAAAGCCCCTTTTTTCAAATTATGGGTTTTTGATGGGGTGTATCAACCCTACACTGAGCAAAAAGAGATTGAGGAGCTTTTCTGGGCCTATCCAGCCCTGCCCCACCCCAAATGCTCAAACTGGAGGTTGAATTAAAAGGCAGGGGAGCAGCTCATTTTCTGGCAGAGCAGGGAAGAGGGCAGACCAGTGACCTGCAGCGCCCGCAGAGGAGAGTGGAGGGAAGGCAGAAATCTCTCCCTAAGACAAGAGGGAAGGGAGGAGCTGCCACAGAGACAGCCTGAACACTGGATTTTGGTAATCCCCTTTATTTTTTTTGTTTGTACTACCTCAGTAGGGGAAAGCCCTTGGACTGAGCTGGCCCAGGAGGCTGGGCCATGCCACAGGAGGAGGTGGTTGCCACCAGAAAAAGAGCTACCACACCACACACCACCAGCAGAAAGTACCTTGTGGTGAGTGGGCACCCTTCACAGCGCCTTAACCTGAATGGTGACTTTGGGACAACAGTAGTGGGGGGAGATAGGAAGTGGCGCAGGGAGGGCAGCCTTAAGCAGCCTTGACTGTCAGAGCCCAGTGGAGTGGGAGGGCCTGGGCTCCCCTACCAACAACCCCCCTGCAGGTTATGGGCCTTAGCCCTGACCACTAGATGACACAACCTGACCAACCCACCCCTGAGTGAGGACCGTCACAGGGTTCCACCTCCAGTTCTACCCAGAGCTACCAGCGACTTCCCTCAATCCAGCAGCCCTGGACTGAATACATGCACCAAACCCAAGATGACCTAAAAGTTCACCTGACGGGAGTCAAGAAGAGTTACAAACAATTGGCAGACCACTGACGACAGGAGGGGCCCGCCCTGTTGGTAGGACAGAATGTGTAGCTGTCAATGAAAATCCTACACTTTAACAGGCCATCTCATAAATTAGACTATCAGTTCCGTGGCCCCTACTGAATTCACCGGAGAATTAATCTCATGTATCACTCCTGAAACTCTACCTTCCAGACCTGTTTCCTCACCACTCCCAACCACTTTCCCACGGGTACGTGCTCAAGACCACAATGAGTACATCATCCATGAGATCCTTGATGCCAAAAAGATGGGGTAAACTCCAGTATTTTGTGAATGGGGAAGGCTATGCTCATGAAGAGCGGTCCTAGGAACTGCTGGAGAATGTCCATGACCCAGGTCTGGTAAACGCCTTTCACAAAAACCACTCTGAAAAATCTGGCGTGTGATGGGACACTAGAAGAGCAGGTGATGTGAGGGATCAGGGGCCTTGAACCCAGGCCGTGCCCAGGTCATGACCACCACCAGCAGCTCACCGAGTCACCAAGGAAGAGTTAGCTAGCAGAGGCCACTGCCCCCAAAGCTCCCAACTGGGGGAAACATCCAGACCCAGGATTGGCTGAAGGATTCTATATAGACCAAGGAGTAACAACAGGAAGTTGTCTCAGCAACTAGAGGAATCCGTGGCTGGCTGCTACTATGAATCCCTCCTGCTTACCTGACTCCTGAGCCCTGCGTTCCTGTCCTCCTATCCCAGACTTCTGTCTACTCCCAGATCCTGCTCTCCTACCCTACTCTAGGTCCCTGCTTTTCCGTCTTACTCCTGACTCTGACTCTGGCACCTGACACCGTCTCTAGCTCTGACCTTCAGCTTGATAACAGATGCTGTCTTTGGTTTTGACCCTTGGCTCTGACCACTAGGCCTGACCATCCACATTCCGGTCATTGCAAAGTCAGGGGGGCAACTTGACACAAATTAGCCCCAGAATCAGGGAAGAATAAAAGTGGCTTAAAGCCACATTTGCCCACCCTTTGCCTAAGAGCTGTGCCAGACTCACTAAGAAAGGGAACAAGGTGCTGGCCATTGATGCTAAGACATGATTTCCATTCTAAAGAGATATGCATGTCAAACTCCTAGATGCATAAGCAAACCTAAATATCACTGGCTAAATTTTGAATTGGTGACTAGCAGCTAATGGTTCAGTATCTGATTACAAATTTCTGAAGCCATTTGTCTGCACTACTGGTCTAAGATCTAAAATAGCTGTTTTTAAAGCGTTGTCAAATTGCAGTTATAGTTATTGATCATTGTTCAGAGTAAAAACAATGCAATATGTAAAAAATGAGAATATAATATGCAAAAATGTAAATTAATAAACCACTGCCATGGTATTGGTGAAGATACAAAATGGTCCCGGTCTAGTTTTCAGCAAACAGGTCTCCACATCCCAAAAAAGCAGCACCACACAGACCAAGGACTGACAGGACATAAACCCCCCTCACCTTTAGAGACAGCCCCTTTAGGTTGTGTTTGAGACACTTTGGTGGGGTAGCTTTCATTGCCCACGTCGTTATCAATTCTGTGGATAAACATGGGATTTCAGTCTCCATTGCTATCACACCAGCTCCTTTCACAAGCACTTTAAAGTCACAAAGATACAAGCTGTAAGAGAAACATAACAGCCTGTTTTTCCAGCAGTAATATGCTCACATCATGGGAACTGGAAACTAAACTACAGAATTGGCTTACATCAATATTAGAGAAAGGTTTAAAGGGACCTTACATTAGGAGTAAACATTTTTCTATTACTTCTAACATATTATTTCTTGTGAAGGAGAGGAGAATGCAGAAAAGGAGGAGGAGATGGGGTATACAGGCCATATCATTCCATCTCCCCAGCCCCACATCTACAGAGGACCAGTTCTCCAGGAGCAAAAGAGGGAGAAATCCCACTGCACAGCACTGATGTCTTCAAAAAAGGTACTTTTAAAAAAAATTCTTAGAAAAGAAAGAGGATAATAGATTTCTGACTATCCCAATATTGTATGACTATTTGGGGCTAGACACAGGTATTATAATATATTTCTCCAAATAAATCCAGATATTTGATTGTATAAGAGTTGCTGCTTCTTGGAATGATAAAGGGATCAGAGAAAGATTCGTTTTTAAAGTGGCATTGCAAAGGTTTATCTTTTAATAGGAAAGAACACTCATTGTGTACATCTCTTTATGAATTTTTATATGGAAAACAATGTCCTTATGAAAAATGTTTGCCCCTCCATTGTGTGTGTCACTACAGGATTGTTTTGCTAACAACTTTTGCCAAAAAAGGTTAAAAAAAAAAACACATAGGAGAAGTTAAGAGTACTTACCAGCTGGAAGCCAGGAAGATACAGCAAGCGGGAGCCAGTTTCAAAATGGGCACTTAGGGCTGGAGTTCTTTGGTAATGCCACATGTAAAGAGCCACCTATAGAAAGGCATGCTGAGAAAAACGTTCTGATAACAGGGCATCCCTGTCTTGGGAAGGGTTAGTGTGGATTAGTTAGTCATAAGGGAAGGTACTCCACAGTCTGTTACGTACCACTGCTGTGTTGCAGAAGCATTTTATGAAACTATTACTGAGAAGTAACAAAGGAGTTGCAAAGAGTTACCAGGACATTAAAAATAAAATAGTAATTGGCCGTCCTACTAACTCTGCCAGTGTCCTCTTAAAGTGCCAAAATTCTGTCCCTGGAGCCCCACTGACAAAATACACTAGGAAAACAGTGCATGTTAAAATAAGTGATAGCCATAGACAAGACGCATTAAAAGAAGAAAAAAACATGTTGTAAACATTCTAAGTATTAAGCAAAAATGTTATCAATTAGTATTATGTATTATTTGTATTGTAGTAGCGCTCACTGGCTCCCATCAGAATCTGGGCCCCAAATTTTAGTTGTCTCTGGAATATTTTTGTTTTAAAAAATAGGTTTTGGAGAAACCATTCATTATATCAATATGGCATTTGATCTTTATCTTCACTTAAAAAGCAAAATTGTAAGGAATGTAACATGCTAACAGCCACTGGATTGTTTGTGTTTTTCCAGCATAAAAATGATTTGTAATCAGTTAGAAATTCTTCTGTTCTTCCTTTAATGGTTTCCATTAAATAATCACCACCTTCATTAGAGTGATCACTAGACAATTCGCTTCCTCATCCCAACATCTCTAGTTAGCTCTTATTTCTGTTGGCTCTGAATGGTGGAAAGAGGCACTCTTCTTGTTTGTCATATAGGCCCTGATTCAGCAAAGCACTTAAGCATATGCTTAACTTCAAGTGTGTAAACCCTATTCAGAAAGTATTTATGCAAATACTTAACTTTAAACATGGGCTTGAGGCCCACTTGCTTTATGCTTTGCTGAATTACCCATACTCTTGAAGTTAAGCCTGCTTAAGTGTTTTTCTGAACTGAGGCAGAGGAAATGTCAGAGCATGAAGTAGAAAAAGCAAAGTATGGCAGCAGAGCAAAGTCTCCACTCAACATCTCATCAGTGTAACTAAGGGTTTGCTTTTGTTTTACATGTCATAATACATACTACAGAAACAGTTGTTTTATAATTCCTACAGTGGGCAGACAGGAGAAGACAAAATTTGTTAAATAAATTGTTTTTGCAAATGATTCACTTGGCTCTAATAAAAACTTGTCTAGTGCTGGTGGAACATGATCATTTTTTTCTGCAATAAATTATGAAAATGCAATATATTTGCAGCAGTAGGTGAACCCATGTCACCTGAAAAGATTGACAGCAATCAAGTTTGTTCATCAGTGCTTGTCCCAGGTTGGGGCATTTGGGTTTTGAAGGTTGGTGTCAAAATCCACCAGCTCCCCAACCCAGGACAAGGCTGGGGATCTGCAGCCAAGTCCCTCTGTGGCTGCTACTCCAGTTTATGGGGTGGAATAGCTGCCACAGGCCTGGCCCTCTGCATTCCATGAGCAGGAGATTTTGAGTCACTGGGTCTGAGTAATCATGGATCCAGTTGCCTTGACCCTAACTCATCTACAACTCTTCCTCCTGTATCAGTTTGATTTGACACATGTGCAGGGGATGAGGACACCCCTATGCACTCCCCATTCAGTCCATGTCTTCCCTCTCCTTCAGAAGACAAATACGGGGCTGAAGTGGTGCTGAAGACTTTGCATGGGTAAATTTCATGACAGATAAACTGAACCTTCTGTCAGTGGTTCCTATCCTTTCTTTTGCTAGTGTCCCTGCTCATGATGGATTGTCCAATAAACATCCTTTCCTCCATGTCACCTCAGGCCACATTCCCCACACAGAAGCTACCTGAGGAGCGTTTCTCTCTGTCCTGGTATTATTGTCTCTTTTTTTTCCCTTAGTGTCTTATACACATGAGCTGATCAAACGTTACTGTGTTTGGGTCCACCACTGATGTGGGGAAGGAAAGAGGATGGATTTCCAGGAGCTGCCTGCAGTTTCAGGAACATGTTTATGATAGGAGACAAGACAGATCCTGAGTCATGCAGCTTTTCCTCCATCCACTGCTGTTTTCTGTGTTTCTGCCCCCTTCCCCCCACTTATCTGGTGCTCCCCAAGGGACAAAATAGGATCTATTATTATTTATCATTTATATTGCAGTGATGCCTAGAGGCCATATCATGGCTCCATTGTGCTAGGTGCTGAGCAAACATATAGTAAATCACAATCCCTGCCCCAAAAGGTTTACAGTATGTAATTAGTTTATATAACTTCTTATGGGAATGTAATGTTTGTGAAAGGTGCTTGACTGAAAGTGCAGGACACTGAAATCTGTTTCTTCAGAGAACACATACCATATAGGCAGCAGCAAAGCACAATTCCCTCTGTTGCTCTGCTAATGTGCCACTATTCTGCCTTGAAGGAAAGACTAGCAGGGTGAAAGGGAAGCTCTCTCTGTATATTCACATTGTGTCCTTTATGCTTCTGTGGCTAAAGAAAATGCCTATCACATATATCTCCTACAAGTACTGAATCCATGTGCACACAGAAATGCTTGAGAGGGCTTCTTTGATGAGTATAACACCACCATTTTCACTCAATTTGTTTATAGCTTTTCAATGCAGAGAGGAACTCCCTCTTACTTCTTAGGTTTTATGTAGTGTCTCTCAAGAGCAGACTAATTTAGGCCACTTATCTCCTTCTGTACCCTTCACCAATAAGCAACAGTCCAACAGCATAACAAAGGATGAATTTATTTACACACAGTAACAGTGGCATCAAAAGAACAGGAACAACCTGTACCAGATAAACCAAAATGCATCCTTTACTCTAACCAAGAGCTCAGATTCTGTCCCTAGCTGCATGTGTGCAACCCTTATGGAAGTCAATAGGGATTTTGGTGCATAACTGAGGACAAAATTTGGCCTTAAGTAAATGTAGGACAGCTTAAACTCTTTTCCCCTAAGCTTCCAGACTTAGGACTTGTCTGTGCATGGAGTTGCACTAGTTTAAACCAGGCTTATTTCAGTTTAGTTTAAATTCATTAGGAACCGGTCTAAACTAAAATGAAATAAGCTTCTCTGAGTAAAATAAGAGTGTCTACCCTGACGTTTACACCAGTTTAATCATTTTAATTAAACTGATGCAAATCTGTTTGTAGACAAGGCTTCACACAGAGCTGTGTAGATCGCACTTAACCAGGTCCTTCTAGCCGTTATCCAACTCACATTCCATGTTTTTCTTTAGGACCAATATCAGTCTCACAGTCCTATAATTACCCGTCATTTTGTTTAGCCTTTTTTCATATTGGCACAATATTAGTTTTCTTCCAGTCTTCTGGAATGTTCCCAGTGTTCCAAGATTTATTGAAAATCAATATTAATGGTCCAAGAAGTTCCTCAGATAGCTCTTTTAAAACTCTTGGCATTGGGGTCTTGAGCTTTTCCTCTCCTATATCTATGGCTTCCACACATCTTCCGCCTTCCTCCTCCATCTTCCTCCTTCACACTCTTTCTCCTCTTCTGAATAGCACTGAATCTGTCTATTGTCTCTTCTTCCCCTCCATGTGGCTGTCATCTACCATTCACACAACTCCTTCCCATCAGCCTTCCTCTCCAATTTGGACTCCTGGCTCTTTCTCTTCCTCTCCTCACAGTCTCCCACGTTCATCCTTGATGAGTTCAACCTCCATTCTGATGACCCAACTGACTTCTTAGCTGCATGTTTCCACATCCTCACCCATTCATGTGGCCTACAGCCCATGTTCAACTCTCCCAGTCATCAAAAGGGACATTTACTTGAATTGGTCTTCATCAAGCACTGCTCTCTCTCTCCTGATCTTTCTGTTGCTTAGTTCAGCCATCTCCTGGTCTCTTTCAACATTGCCCTTCATCCCCACCTTCACCCCAAATCACTCAGTCTTTCTGTGACTTCCAGTCCATCAGTGTTGATGACTTCCCATCCGCTCTCAGTCCTTTCCTCTCTTCCCTTAATTCCACTGATATATTTATTGATTCTCTCCATTCCTCACTGTACTCCACCCTTGACTCTTTTGCCCTTCTCTCCCATCACAAAGTCCCTCTTGCCAATCCCCAGCCCTGACTCACTCCCAAAATCTGCTTCCTCCAGGCCTGCTCTTGCACTGCAGAACATCTGTGGTGGAAATCCCATGACCATGCTGACTTCCTCCACTTCAGATTTGTTCTTTCCTCTCCCTAGTAAAACAAGTCTATTTCTCCAACTCAACTGAATACCAAGCCTGCAATCCCAGCTGACTTTTCACCACCTTTGACTCTCTCCTCAAACCCTCTTCTCTTCCTGCCTCCACTTTTCTCCACATAAGATCTCAACAATTTCTTTCAAGAGAAATTTGATGAAGTATAACATGACTGTTACTTTCCTTTCCCTCCTTCTTCCTGGTGACAGATGCAGAAGTTTCTTGTATGGTCTCCTCCTCTAGCCCCTCAATTTGCCCCAGTGGCCCCACTGCATCCAGCTCCTGATCTCCTGATCTGTCTCACTCCCACTCTCATCTCCTCCCTTTCTCCTGATCTTTAACCTCTCACTCTCCTCTGTCTCTTTACCTTCACAATACAAGCATGCTTTAGGGTCTCATCTTAAAAACTCACCCATGACCCCATTTTCCTCTTCAGTTATTGCCCCATCTCCCTTCTCCCTTTTATCTCTAAGCTCATTGAATGTACTGTTGACAATTACTATCTGGAGTTCCTCGCCTCTAGTTCCATCCTAGATCCTCTCCATTCCAACTTCTGCTCCTTGCACTCCACTCAAACAGCTCTGGTCAAAGTCTCTAATGACCTCTTCTTAGCTAAAAGTCAGAACCAATATATAATCCTCATCTTCCTTGACCTGTCAGCCACCTTTGACACTGTTGACCATGCTCTTTTTCTTGAAAACTTGTCCTCCTTTGGTGTCTATGATTCTGTCCTCTCCTGGGTCTTCTCCTTCCTTTCTAAATGTTCCTTCAGC